GGGAGATTGACAGTTTTGTGTTTCTTCCATTTGCGAATAATCACACCAACTGTTGTCACCTTCTCACCAAGCCGCTTGGCAATGGTCTTGTAGCCCATTCCAGCCTTGTGTAGGCCTACAATCTTGTCCCTGACATCCTTGGAGAGCTCTTTGGTCTTGGCCATGGTGGAGAGTTTGGAATCTGATTGATTGATTGCTTCTGTGGACAGTTGTCTTTTATACAGGTAACAAGCTGAGATTAGGAGCACTCCCTTTTAAGAGTGTGCTCCTAATCTCAGCTCATTACCTGTATAAAAGACACCTGGGAGCCAGAAATCTTTCTGATTGAGAGGGGGTCAAATACTTATTTCCCTCATTAAAATGCCAATCAAATTATAACATTTTTGACATGCGTTTTTTCGGATTTTTTTGGTTCTGTCTCTCACTGTTCAAATAAACCTACCATTAAAATTATAGACTGATCATTTCTTTGTCAGTGGGCAAACGTACAAAATCAGCAGAGGATCAGATACTTTTTTCCCCTCACTGTATGTGTGTTGTGTGCGTGTGTGTGTGTGCCGGACGGGCAACGCTGTCATGGACAGTGCTGTGGGGGGGAGGGCCAATTCCGATTGGCCTCCACCTCATGGCGTCTGTGACCACCACAGTGGCAAAATGGGGGCTCTGCACGGGTGCGAGGGGCTGGTAACCACTCCACCTTCAATTAATTACCACTAAAGCATGACTGAAATATCTAATTAATAAGCTTGTGCCAGAGGCCCCGGGGGGCCAGGCGTCTATGACGTCTCCTGGCCAAACCCCATCTGGCGGAGCCAGGAGATTGAATCTTTACCCTCGGGGCTCCTCCAGAAACAACGACAAGCCACTTGGAATGTTTGAACGCTCACTGTGGAGGGGAGGCTGCCACTCCTCTGTCGGGACCTGGACCGGTTCTGCCTGGATCTCTGTGGCATTCAGGAGGTTCGGTGGACCGGCTCTGGCTCCTGCCACCATGAGGGATGGACAGTCCTCTACTCGGGGCAGGAGACTGCCAAACAACAGGGTGTGGCTCTTCTTCTGAACAAAAGAATGATGGGGGCGTGGGAGCGTGGCGGTGAGGTGTGGGAAGCTGTAGGCCCCAGGCTACTTTGGGCTCGCCTTCCCATCAACCGGAGGCGAGGAGTGGTGGTCGTGGTTACTTATGCCCCCACCGAAGACGAACATCCGTGGAGGGATGCAGGCAAGGTCGATGAGTCAGATGCCTTCTATGACCTCCTGTCACAGGTGCTGGCTAAAGTGGCCCCTCGGGATAGTCATCTTGTTGGGTGACTTCAATGCCCGAGTTGGTCATGATGCTGGCACCTGGTCTGGAGTGATTGGAAGGCATGGGCCAGATCAGCTCAATAACAACGGTAGGAGGCTGCTAGATTTTTGTGCAGCCCATGGGCTTGTAATTACCAACACGCTGTTCCGGCATCGGCGCATCCACACAACATCATGGATGCATGCCTGGTCCAAGCAAGAACATCTGCTGGACTACATAGTGACGGACCAGCGGATGCGAGCCCATGTCCTTGACACCAGGACCTACCGTGGAGCTGATCTGCCCTCTGACCATCGACTAATCATCTGTAAGATGCGCCTGCCATTCTTCCACTCCGGTGGTGGGTGTACAAGCAGGACCCCATTTCAACCTAAAGTGGCCTGGTCTCAGCTGATGAAAGTTGCAAGCGAGAATTTTGTCATCGCTTGCGGCTGGGGTTGGCATCGTCCCCCACTCCTCCTGATGTCGAGGGTAAATGGGCGAGGTTTAGGACTGACTCATGCAGCTGCAATGGCTGCTTTGGGTACGCGGTCCAGACCTCCCCAGAGACCCTGGCTGACAGGAGGTGGTTAGGATGGTTGAGAAAAAGCGACAGGCCCACTGTCATCGGTTACAGAATCCCACGTCAGAAAATGAGGAGGCTTACCGCAGCTTTCGCTCGGAGGTTCGGAGAGCCGTGAGGCGCTGCAAGGATGGGTGGTGGTCGTGGGTTGCTGAGGAGATGGAGTCTGCCTCAGTGGCCCGCGATCACAAATCTCTATTTAACTCCATCAAAAAAGTAACCTGCAGCGCCACACCTATTACCATCATTAGGGGAAAAAACGGTGATCCAATCTCCGACCCCCAGCAACAGGTTTGCAGATTTGCTTAGCATTTCTGTGAGGTCCTGGGGGAGGGGATATCCCTCAGCCAGGAAAACATCATGGCACAAAGTGGGGATGACCCTGCTGAGGCTGCGGTGCCTCAAATATTGTAAGAAGAAGTCACCCCCTGTGAGTGGCTGGCTGAGGTGCCATCTATTGAGGAAGTACTGAAGGCGATCCAGAGTCTGAGACCAGGAAAGGCACCGGGTAGAGACGATCTCCCAAGCGAGATGCTGAGGGAGGGTGGCATTTGTACACAGACTGCCCTGTATGACATCATAACAGCAATCTGGACCACTGGACGGGTTCCGCAGGATTAGAAGGATGCCCTGGTGGTCTCCCTCTTTAAGAAGGGGGACCGCACAGACTGTAACAACTACAGGGGCATCTCACTCCTCAGTGTGCCGGGAAAGGTCCTGGCAAGGATTATTCAACATCGTCTTGCCAGGCACGCCGAGGAGAGGCTTTTGGAGCCCCAATGCGGTTTCAGGAAAGGGCGGTCCTGCACAGATGCCATATTTTCTCTCCGTCTGCTACAGCAGAGGTGTAGGGAATTCCAACAAAACCTACATCTCTGCTTTATTGACCTGGTCAAGGCCTATGATACCATCAGTAGGCCTGGTCTCTGGGTTGTTCTTCGTGCTTTTGGAGTACCTGACCCTCTGCTCACGATCATTAAGGACCTTCATGATGGTGAGCGGGCCCGGGTAAAACTATGTGGCCGGGAGTCGGAGCCATTCCCTGTACACCTTGGGGTGCGACAGGGATGTCCTCTGGCTCCCACATTATTTAACATCTATTTTGACCACGTAGTTCGTGAAGCCTTCAATAGCTGTACCGGGGGAATCTCCATATGGTACAGATATAATGGGAGGCTGATCGATGCCCGGGTGCGGTCAAGGGATGGCTCCCTATTGCTCAACCACGTTATGTATGCCGATGATTTGTTAATAGCTGCTCATTCAGAGGAGTTGGAGACGCTACTGCTAAGACTGGAGCGTGCCACTAAGAGATGGGGCCTTACCATCAGCCCCACCAAAACTAAGCACCTGCCTGGGTATTTTGTACCATCGGACACTCCACCCCCACAACTCCCAATCGGTGATGGGGCAGTTGTGGAGAGAGTGGAGAGTTTCCCATACCTCGGCTGTATGCTCATGACCGGCTCCAGTTTAACAGCAGAGGTCTCACTCCGAATTAGTCGAGCGGCAATATCTTTTCATCGGTTGCGATAACGCTTTGTGGAAGCTACCTGGTCTGTCGCTCCGCACTAAGCTTCAGGTCTTCTTGGCCACGGTCATTCCCTCCCTTTTCTACGCTTGCAAAACGTGGACCCCCCTAATGGAACATCTTCGCCGGTTAGAAACATTTAGGCTAGCCTGCCTACGATCCATCCTGGGTTTAACCAGGCTGGATTGTGTGAGGAGCTCACAAATTCTTGAAAGATCTGGGCAAGGTCCCATCGGTGAGCTCCGGCGGAGAAGGCTGCGATGGCTGGGTCATGTAGCCTGCATGCCCAGCCACCGCATGCCGAAACAGCTTTTGTTCGGCCGGATCGAGGAGGCTAAACGGGCACGGCACGGTCTAGAGAAGAGATGGAGTGATGTGGTACGGGAGGACGTGGAGCTGAGTGGACTTGCTGATGACTGGTACCAGCGGTGTCAAGATCGGCCTCTGTGGAGGAGGCTCGTGAAGGACGCTACTGGGCAGTTGGAGGCAGTCGCCCTCCAACAACAACGGAGGGCGGAGGAGCGACGCTCACAACAACGAGCGGAGCGCCGGGTGGCTAAAGCACAGCAGGTTGGCACAGTAGGGGGCACAGGTGGTGCATCAGCCAGTCATCTCAGTCAGTCGACCCGTGGCATCTGGGTCTGCCCCGTGACCTCCTGCCAGCGGGCGTTCGACACTTCACGTTGCCTCAAGGTGCACATGGCCTGGCACAAGCGTCGTGGTGACGTCACCGCTAATTTGTGGCGAATGGCGGTTGTTGTTGTCTCTGTGTGTCTCTGTGTGTCTCTGTGTGTGTGTGTCTGTGTGTGTGTGTCTCTGTGTGTGTGTGTCTCTGTGTGTGTGTCTCTGTGTGTCTCTGTGTGTGTGTCTCCACCAGGCCTGCGTATGCACGGCGAGGCGGTGTGCCAGCTGCCGTGCGTGGCGCTGGTGCACGTGTAGCTCAGTGTGTGTGTCTGTGTGTGTCTGTGTGTGTAACTGTCTCTGTGTGTGTCTCTGTGTGTCTGTGTGTGTGTCTCTGTGTGTCTGTGTGTGTGTCTCTGTGTGTCTCTGTGTGTCTGTGTGTGTGTCTGTTGTGTGTCTGTTGTGTGTATCTCTGTGTGTGTATCACTGTGTGTATGTCTCTGTGTGTGTGTCTCTGTATGTGTAACTGTGTGTGTGTAACTGTGTGTATCTCTGTGTTTGTAACTGTGTGTGCATCTTCACCAGGCCTGCGCATGCACGGCGAGGCGGTGTGCCAGCTGGTGCACGTGTAGCTCAGTGTGTGTGTGTGTAACTGTGTGTGTGTGTGTGTGTCTCTGTGTGTGTCTCTGTGTGTGTAACTGTGTGTCTCTGTGTGTGTAACTGTGTGTAACTGTGTGTCTCTGTGTGTCTTTGTGTGTGTCTGTGTGTCTTTGTGTGTGTCTGTGTGTGTCTGTGTGTGTCTGTGTGTGTCTCTGTGTGTGTGTCTCTGTGTGTGTAACTGTGTGTGTGTGTCTCTGTGTGTGTAACTGTGTGTGTCTCTGTGCGTGTGTGTCTCTGTGTGTGTAACTGTGTGTGTGTGTCTCTGTGTGTGTAACTGTATGTGTCTCTGTGCGTGTGTGTCTCTGTGTGTGCGTCTCCGCCAGGCCTGCGCATGCACGGCGAGGCGGTGTGCCAGCTGCCGTGCGTGGCGCTGGTGCACGTGTAGCTCAGTGTGTGTGTCTGTGTGTCTTTGTGTGTGTCTCTGTGTGTCTTTGTGTGTGTCTCTGTGTGTGTAGCTCAGTGTGTGTGTCTGTGTGTGTGTCTCTGTGTGTGTAACTGTGTGTGTGTATCTCTGTGTGTGTCTCTGTGTGTCTGTGTGTGTGTAACTGTGTGTCTCTGTGTGTAACTGTGTGTAACTGTGTGTCTGTGTGTCTGTGTGTGTGTAACTGTGTGTCTGTTGTGTGTCTGTTGTGTGTATCTCTGTGTGTGTATCACTGTGTGTATGTCTCTGTGTGTGTGTCTCTGTGTGTGTGTCTCTGTGTGTGTGTCTCTGTGTGTCTGTGTGTGTCTCTGTGTGTGTGTCTCTGTGTGTCTGTGTGTGTGTCTCTGTGTGTCTGTGTGTGTCTCTGTGTGTGTCTCTCTCTCTGTGTGTCTCTGTGTGTGTCTCTCTCTCTGTGTGTCTCTGTGTTTGTGTGTGTATCTCTGTGTGTGTAACTGTGTGTGTGTCTCTGTGTGTGTCTGTGTGTGTCTCTGTGTGTGTCTCTGTGTGTCTGTGTGTGTCTCTGTGTGTGTCTCTCTCTCTGTGTGTCTCTGTGTTTGTGTGTGTATCTCTGTGTGTGTAACTGTGTGTGTGTCTCTGTGTGTGTAACTGTGTGTGTGTCTCTGTGTGTGTCTCTGTGTGTCTGTGTGTGTCTCTGTGTGTGTCTCTCTCTCTGTGTGTCTCTGTGTTTGTGTGTGTATCTCTGTGTGTGTAACTGTGTGTGTGTCTCTGTGTCTCTGTGTGTGTAACTGTGTGTGTCTCTGTGTGTGTGTGTGTGTCTCTGTGTCTCCACCAGGCCTGCGTATGCACGGCGAGGCGGTGTGCCAGCTGCCGTGCGTGGCGCTGGTGCGCGTGTAGCTCAGTGTGTGTGTGTGTGTAACTGTGTGTGTGTGTGTCTGTTGTGTGTGTCTCTGTGTGTCTGTGTGTGTAGCTCAGTGTGTGTGTCTGTGTGTGTGTCTCTGTGTGTGTATCTCTGTGTGTGTCTCTGTGTGTCTGTGTGTGTGTAACTGTGTGTCTCTGTGTGTAACTGTGTGTAACTGTGTGTCTCTGTGTGTCTGTGTGTGTGTAACTGTGTGTTGTGTGTCTGTTGTGTGTATCTCTGTGTGTGTATCACTGTGTGTATGTCTGTGTGTGTGTGTGTCTCTGTGTGTGTAACTGTGTGTGTGTGTCTCTGTGTGTGTAACTGTGTGTGTGTGTCTCTGTGTGTGTAACTGTGTGTGTGTGTCTCTGTGTGTGTAACTGTGTGTGTGTGTCTCTGTGTGTGTAACTGTGTGTGTGTGTCTCTGTGTGTGTAACTGTGTGTGTGTGTCTCTGTGTGTGTAACTGTGTGTGTGTGTCTCTGTGTGTGTAACTGTGTGTGTGTGTCTCTGTGTGTGTCTCTGTGTGTGTAACTGTGTGTGTCTCTGTGTCTCTGTGTCTCCACCAGGCCTGCGCATGCACGGCGAGGCGGTGTGCCAGCTGCCGTGCGTGGCGCTGGTGCACGTGTAGCTCAGTGTGTGTGTCTGTGTGTGTCTGTGTGTGTAACTGTGTGTGTCTCTGTGTGTCTCTGTGTGTCTGTGTGTGTCTGTGTGTGTGTAGCTCAGTGTGTGTGTCTGTGTGTGTGTGTCTGTGTGTGTGTGTGTCTGTGTGTGTGTGTAACTGTGTGTGTAACTGTGTGTATCTCTGTGTGTGTGTCTCTGTGTGTGTGTGTGTCTCTGTGTGTCTTCGCCAGGCCTGCGCATGCACGGCGAGGCGGTGTGCCAGCTGCCGTGCGTGGCGCTGGTGCACGTGTAGCTCAGTGTGTGTGTGTCTCTGTGTGTGTGTCTCTGTGTGTGTCTCTCTCTCTGTGTGTCTCTGTGTTTGTGTGTGTCTCTGTGTGTGTCTGTGTGTGTCTCTGTGTGTGTCTCTCTCTCTGTGTGTCTCTGTGTTTGTGTGTGTCTCTGTGTGTGTGTGTGTGTGTCTCTGTGTCTTCACCAGGCCTGCGCATGCACGGCGAGGCGGTGTGCCAGCTGCCGTGCGTGGCGCTGGTGCACGTGTAGCTCAGTGTGTGTGTCTGTGTGTGTGTCTCTGTGTCTGTGTGTAACTGTGTGTGTGTGTGTCTCTGTGTGTGTAACTGTGTGTGTCTCTGTGTGTGTGTGTGTCTCTGTGTCTCCACCAGGCCTGCGCATGCACGGCGAGGCGGTGTGCCAGCTGCCGTGCGTGGCGCTGGTGCACGTGTAGCTCAGTGTGTGTGTGTATGTCTCTCTCTGTGTGTCTCTGTGTGTGTGTCTCTCTATCTGTGTGTCTCTGTGTCTCTGTCTCTCTGTGTCTCCGCCAGGCCTGCGTATGCACGGCGAGGCGGTGTGCCAGCTGCCGTGCGTGGCGCTGGTGCGCGTGTAGCTCAGTGTGTGTGTGTGTCTGTGTGTGTGTGTCTGTGTGTGTCTCTGTGTGTGTCTCTGTGTGTCTCTGTGTTTGTGTGTCTCTGTGTTTGTGTGTCTGTGTTTGTAACTGTGTGTGTCTCTGTGTGTGTAACTGTGTGTCTCTGTGTGTGTGTGTCTGTCTCTGTGTGTCTTCACCAGGCCTGCGCATGCACGGCGAGGCGGTGTGCCAGCTGCCGTGCGTGGCGCTGGTGCACGTGTAGCTCAGTGTGTGTGTGTGTGTCTCTGTGTGTGTCTCTGTGTGTGTGTAACTGTGTGTGTCTCTGTGTGTGTCTCTGTGTGTGTCTCTCTCTCTGTGTGTGTGTGTGTGTGTCTCTGTGTGTGTGTCTCTGTGTGTGTGTCTCTGTGTCTCTCTGTGTCTCCACCAGGCCTGCGTATGCACGGCGAGGCGGTGTGCCAGCTGCCGTGCGTGGCGCTGGTGCACGTGTAGCTCAGTGTGTGTGTCTGTGTGTGTGTAACTGTGTGTGTGTAACTGTGTGTGTGTAACTGTGTGTGTGTAACTGTGTGTGTGTCTCTGTGTGTGTGTGTGTCTCTGTGTCTCTGTGTCTCCGCCAGGCCTGCGCATGCACGGCGAGGCGGTGTGCCAGCTGCCGTGCGTGGCGCTGGTGCGCGTGTAGCTCAGTGTGTGTGTCTGTGTGTGTAACTGTGTGTCTCTGTGTGTCTCTGTGTTTGTGTGTGTGTCTCTCTGTGTCTCTGTGTGTCTGTGTGTGTGTCTCTCTGTGTCTCCGCCAGGCCTGCGCATGCACGGCGAGGCGGTGTGCCAGCTGCCGTGCGTGGCGCTGGTGCGCGTGTAGCTCAGTGTGTGTGTCTGTGTGTGTAACTGTGTGTCTCTGTGTGTCTCTGTGTTTGTGTGTGTGTCTCTCTGTGTCTCTGTGTGTCTGTGTGTGTGTCTCTCTGTGTCTCCGCCAGGCCTGCGCATGCACGGCGAGGCGGTGTGCCAGCTGCCGTGCGTGGCGCTGGTGCGCGTGTAGCTCAGTGTGTGTGTGTCTCTGTGTGTATGTCTCTGTGTGTGTGTGTGTCTGTGTGTGTGTGTAACTGTGTGTGTAACTGTGTGTGTGTCTGTGTGTGTCTCCACCAGGCCTGCGCATGCACGGCGAGGCGGTGTGCCAGCTGCCGTGCGTGGCGCTGGTGCGCGTCCCCACGCCGTGGGTGCAGTCGGACAGCGACGTGACGGTGCTGCGCCACCTGGAGCGCCTCGGCTGCCGCCTCGCCAACCGCCCCGGCGCAATCCTCAACTGCATCAACAAGTTCTGGACGTTCCAGGAGCTCGCGGGACACGGGGTGCCTCTTCCCGACACATTCTCCTATGGTGAGCGTGGGTGAGTGGGGTGAGCGTGGTGAGTGTGGGGTGAGTGTGGGTGAGCGTGGAGAGTGTGGGTGAGTGTGGGGTGGGGTGAGCGTGGGTGAGCGTGACACGTGGTGCCTCTTCCCGACACATTCTCCTATGGTGAGCGTGGGGTGTGGGTGAGCGTGGGGTGAGTGTGGGTGAGCGTGGTGTGGGGTGAGCGTGGGGTGAGCGTGGGGTGAGTGTGGGGTGAGTGTGGGGTGAGTGTGGGGTGAGTGTGGGGTGAGCGTGGGGTGAGCGTGGGGTGAGTGTGGGGTGAGTGTGGAGTGAGTGTGGGTGAGCGTGGGGTGAGCGTGGGGTGAGTGTGGGGTGAGTGTGGGTGAGCGTGGGGTGAGTGTGGGGTGAGTGTGGGGTGAGTGTGGGGTGAGTGTGGGGTGAGCGTGGGGTGAGTGTGGGGTGAGTGTGGGGTGAGTGTGGGGTGAGTGTGGGGTGAGTGTGGGGTGAGTGTGGGGTGAGTGTGGGGTGAGTGTGGGGTGAGTGTGGGTGAGCGTGGGGTGAGTGTGGGTGAGCGTGGGGTGAGTGGGGTGAGTGGGGTGAGTGGGGTGAGTGTGGGGTGAGTGTGGGGTGAGTGTGGGGTGAGTGTGGGGTGAGTGTGGGGTGAGTGTGGGGTGAGTGTGGGGTGAGTGTGGGGTGAGTGTGGGGTGGGTGAGCGTGGGGTGGGTGAGCGTGGGGTGGGTGAGCGTGGGGTGGGTGAGCGTGGGGTGGGTGAGCGTGGGGTGGGTGAGCGTGGGGTGGGTGAGCGTGGGGTGAGTGGGGGTGAGTGTGGAGTGAGTGTGGAGTGAGTGGGGCGTGAGTGGGGTAGGGGGGGTGAGTGTGGAGTGAGTGTGGGTGAGCGTGACACGGGGTGCCTCTTCCCGACACATTCTCCTATGGTGAGCGTGGAGTGAGCGTGTGGGGTGAGCGTGTGGCGTGGATGAGCGTGGGGCGTGGGTGAGCGTGGCGGGGGTGAGCGTGGCGGGGGTGAGCGTGGCGGGGGTGAGCGTGGCGGGGGTGAGCGTGGCGGGGGTGAGCGTGTGGGGGTGAGCGTGGAGGGTGAGGTGAGTGTGGAGTGAGATGGGGTCAGTGGGGGTGAGCGTGGGGTGGGTGAGTGGGGGTGAGAGGTGGTGAGGGGGTGAGGGGGTGAGTGGGACACAGGGTGATGATGGTGCTGATGATGGTGCTGATGATGATGATGGTGATGATGGTGCTGATGATGATGATGGTGCTGATGATGGTGCTGATGATGATGTTGGTGCTGCTGATGATGGTGCTGATGATGATGTTGGTGCTGCTGATGATGGTGCTGATGATGGTGCCGACGACGACGATGGTGATGATGATGGTGCTGATGATGATGGTGCTGATGATGATGATGGTGCTGATGATGATGATGGTGCTGATGATGATGGTGCTGATGATGATGTTGGTGCTGCTGATGATGGTGCTGATGATGGTGCCGACGACGACGATGGTGATGATGATGGTGCTGATGATGATGGTGCTGATGATGATGATGGTGCTGATGATGATGGTGCTGTGTGTGAGCCAGGAGGCCACGATGAGTTTGGGAAGATGATTGAGGAGGCTGATCCCCTGGGCTACCCCCTGGTGCTGAAGAACACACGTGGACATCGAGGTGAACGTCTGTCTCTCTGTGTCTCACCACGTGTCTCTTGTCTCTCTGTGTCTCACCACGTGTCTCTCTGTGTCTCACCACGTGTCTCTTGTCTCTCTGTGTCTCTTGTCTCACCACGTGTCTCTCTGTCTCTCTGTCTCTCTTGTCTCTCTGTGTCTCTTGTCTCACCACGTGTCTCACCACGTGTCTCTGTGTCTCTCTGTGTCTCACCACGTGTCTCTCTGTGTCTCTCTGTCTCTCTGTGTCTCACCACGTGTCTCTCTGTGTCTCACCACGTGTCTCTCTGTCTCTCTTGTCTCACCACATGTCTCTGTCTCTCTGTCTCACCACGTGTCTCTCTGTCTCTCTGTGTCTCACCACGTGTCTCTCTGTCTCTCTGTCTCTCTTGTCTCTCTGTGTCTCTTGTCTCACCACGTGTCTCACCACGTGTCTCTGTGTCTCTCTGTGTCTCACCACGTGTCTCTCTGTGTCTCTCTGTCTCTCTGTGTCTCACCACGTGTCTCTCTGTGTCTCACCACGTGTCTCTCTGTCTCTCTTGTCTCACCACGTGTCTCTGTCTCTCTGTCTCACCACGTGTCTCTCTGTCTCTCTTGTCTCACCACGTGTCTCTCTGTGTCTCTCTGTGTCTCTCTGTCTCACCACGTGTCTCACCACGTGTCTCACCACGTGTCTCTCTTGTCTCACCACGTGTCTCACCACGTGTCTCTCTTGTCTCACCACGTGTCTCACCACGTGTCTCACCACGTGTCTCACCACGTGTCTCACCACGTGTCTCTCTTGTCTCACCACGTGTCTCACCACGTGTCTCACCACGTGTCTCACCACGTGTCTCACCACGTGTCTCACCACGTGTCTCACCACGTGTCTCTCTTGTCTCACCACGTGTCTCTCTTGTCTCTCCACGTGTCTCTCTTGTCTCACCACGTGTCTCACCACGTGTCTCTCTTGTCTCACCCCGTGTCTCACCACGTGTCTCACCACGTGTCTCACCACGTGTCTCACCACGTGTCTCTGTGTCTCACCACGTGTCTCTGTGTCTCACCACGTGTCTCACCACGTGTCTCTGTGTCTCACCACGTGTCTCACCACGTGTCTCTGTGTCTCACCACGTGTCTCACCACGTGTCTCACCACGTGTCTCACCACGTGTCTCTCTTGTCTCACCACGTGTCTCACCCCGTGTCTCACCCCGTGTCTCACCACGTGTCTCACCACGTGTCTCACCACGTGTCTCTCTTGTCTCACCACGTGTCTCACCACGTGTCTCTCTGTCTCACCACGTGTCTCACCACGTGTCTCTCTTGTCTCACCCCGTGTCTCACCCCGTGTCTCACCACGTGTCTCACCACGTGTCTCACCACGTGTCTCTCTGTGTCTCACCACGTGTCTCTCTGTGTCTCACCACGTGTCTCTCTTGTCTCACCACGTGTCTCTCTGTCTCTCTGTGTCTCTCTGTGTCTCACCACGTGTCTCTCTGTGTCTCACCACGTGTCTCTCTTGTCTCACCACGTGTCTCTCTGTGTCTCACCACGTGTCTCTCTTGTCTCACCACGTGTCTCTCTGTGTCTCTCTGTGTCTCACCACGTGTCTCTCTTGTCTCACCACGTGTCTCTCTTGTCTCACCACGTGTCTCTCTGTCTCACCACGTGTCTCTCTTGTCTCACCACGTGTCTCTCTTGTCTCACCACGTGTCTCTCTGTGTCTCACCACGTGTCTCTCTTGTCTCACCACGTGTCTCTCTGTGTCTCACCACGTGTCTCTCTTGTCTCACCACGTGTCTCTCTGTGTCTCTGTCTCCCTTGTCTCACCACGTGTCTCTCTGTGTCTCTGTCTCTCTGTCTCACCACGTGTCTCTCTGTGTCTCTGTCTCTCTGTCTCACCACGTGTCTCTCTGTGTCTCTCTTGTCTCACCACGTGTCTCACCACGTGTCTCACCACGTGTCTCTCTGTCTCACCACGTGTCTCTCTGTCTCTCTGTGTCTCTCTGTGTCTCACCACGTGTCTCTCTGTGTCTCACCACGTGTCTCTCTGTGTCTCACCACGTGTCTCTCTGTGTCTCTCTTGTCTCACCACGTGTCTCACCACGTGTCTCTCTGTCTCTCTGTGTCTCTCTTGTCTCACCACGTGTCTCTCTTGTCTCACCACGTGTCTCACCACGTGTCTCTCTGTCTCTCTGTGTCTCTCTGTGTCTCACCACGTGTCTCTCTTGTCTCACCACGTGTCTCTCTTGTCTCACCACGTGTCTCTCTTGTCTCACCACGTGTCTCTCTGTCTCTCTGTGTCTCTCTTGTCTCACCACGTGTCTCTCTTGTCTCACCACGTGTCTCACCACGTGTCTCTCTGTCTCTCTGTGTCTCTCTGTGTCTCACCACGTGTCTCTCTTGTCTCACCACGTGTCTATCTGTGTCTCACCACGTGTCTCTCTGTGTCTCACCACGTGTCTCTCTGTCTCACCACGTGTCTCTCTGTGTCTCTTGTCTCACCACGTGTCTCTCTTGTCTCACCACGTGTCTCTCTGTCTCTCTGTGTCTCTCTTGTCTCACCACGTGTCTCACCACGTGTCTCTGTCTCACCACGTGTCTCTCTGTCTCCCTTGTCTCACCACGTGTCTCTCTGTCTCACCACGTGTCTCTCTGTCTCCCTTGTCTCACCACGTGTCTCTCTGTCTCACCACGTGTCTCTCTGTCTCTACTGTCTCACCACGTGTCTCTCTGTCTCACCACGTGTCTCTCTGTCTCTCTGTGTCTCTCTTGTCTCACCACGTGTCTCACCACGTGTCTCTCTGTCTCACCACGTGTCTCTCTGTCTCCCTTGTCTCACCACGTGTCTCTCTGTCTCACCACGTGTCTCTCTGTCTCTACTGTCTCACCACGTGTCTCTCTGTCTCACCACGTGTCTCTCTGTCTCTCTGTGTCTCTCTTGTCTCACCACGTGTCTCACCACGTGTCTCTCTGTCTCACCACGTGTCTCTCTGTCTCCCTTGTCTCACCACGTGTCTCTCTGTCTCACCACGTGTCTCTCTGTCTCTACTGTCTCACCACGTGTCTCTCTGTCTCACCACGTGTCTCTCTGTCTCTCTGTGTCTCTCTTGTCTCACCACGTGTCTCACCACGTGTCTCTCTGTCTCACCACGTGTCTCTCTGTCTCCCTTGTCTCACCTCGTGTCTCTCTGTCTCACCACGTGTCTCTCTGTCTCTACTGTCTCACCACGTGTCTCTCTGTCTCACCACGTGTCTCTCTGTCTCACTGTGTCTCTCTGTCTCACCACGTGTCTCACCACGTGTCTCTCTGTCTCTACTGTCTCACCACGTGTCTCTCTGTCTCACCACGTGTCTCTCTGTCTCACCACGTGTCTCTCTGTCTCACCACGTGTCTCACTCACTCACCACGTGTCTCTCTGTCTCACCACGTGTCTCACTGTCTCACCACGTGTCTCTCTGTCTCACCACGTGTCTCTCTGTCTCACCACGTGTCTCTCTGTCTCACCACGTGTCTCTCTGTCTCTCTGTGTCTCTCTTGTCTCACCACGTGTCTCACCACGTGTCTCTCTGTCTCACCACGTGTCTCTCTGTCTCCCTTGTCTCACCACGTGTCTCTCTGTCTCACCACGTGTCTCTCTGTCTCTACTGTCTCACCACGTGTCTCTCTGTCTCACCACGTGTCTCTCTGTCTCTCTGTGTCTCTCTTGTCTCACCACGTGTCTCACCACGTGTCTCTCTGTCTCACCACGTGTCTCTCTGTCTCCCTTGTCTCACCACGTGTCTCTCTGTCTCACCACGTGTCTCTCTGTCTCTACTGTCTCACCACGTGTCTCTCTGTCTCACCACGTGTCTCTCTGTCTCTCTGTGTCTCTCTTGTCTCACCACGTGTCTCACCACGTGTCTCTCTGTCTCACCACGTGTCTCTCTGTCTCCCTTGTCTCACCACGTGTCTCTCTGTCTCACCACGTGTCTCTCTGTCTCTACTGTCTCACCACGTGTCTCTCTGTCTCACCACGTGTCTCTCTGTCTCTCTGTGTCTCTCTTGTCTCACCACGTGTCTCACCACGTGTCTCTCTGTCTCACCACGTGTCTCTCTGTCTCACCACGTGTCTCTCTGTCTCACCACGTGTCTCACTGTCTCACCACGTGACTCACCACGTGTCTCTCTGTCTCACCACGTGTCTCTCTGTCTCACTCACCACGTGTCTCTCTGTCTCACCACGTGTCTCTCTGTCTCACCACGTGTCTCTCTGTCTCACCACGTGTCTCTCTGTCTCTACTGTCTCACCACGTGTCTCTGTCTCACCACGTGTCTCTCTGTCTCTCTGTGTCTCTCTTGTCTCACCACGTGTCTCACCACGTGTCTCTCTGTCTCACCACGTGTCTCTCTGTCTCCCTTGTCTCACCACGTGTCTCTCTGTCTCACCACGTGTCTCTCTGTCTCTACTGTCTCACCACGTGTCTCTCTGTCTCACCACGTGTCTCTCTGTCTCTCTGTGTCTCTCTTGTCTCACCACGTGTCTCACCACGTGTCTCTCTGTCTCACCACGTGTCTCTCTGTCTCACCACGTGTCTCACTCACTCACCACGTGTCTCACTGTCTCTCTGTCTCACCACGTGTCTCTCTGTCTCACCACGTGTCTCTCTGTCTCTCTGTGTCTCTCTTGTCTCACCACGTGTCTCACCACGTGTCTCACTCACTCACCACGTGTCTCTCTGTCTCACCACGTGTCTCTCTGTCTCACCACGTGTCTCTCTGTCTCACCACGTGTCTCTCTGTCTCACCACGTGTCTCTCTGTCTCACCACGTGTCTCTCTGTCTCACCACGTGTCTCTCTGTCTCACTCACCACGTGTCTCTCTGTCTCACCACGTGTCTCTCTGTCTCTACTGTCTCACCACGTGTCTCTGTCTCACCACGTGTCTCTCTGTCTCTCTGTGTCTCTCTTGTCTCACCACGTGTCTCACCACGTGTCTCTCTGTCTCACCACGTGTCTCTCTGTCTCCCTTGTCTCACCACGTGTCTCTCTGTCTCACCACGTGTCTCTCTGTCTCTCTGTGTCTCTCTTGTCTCACCACGTGTCTCACCACGTGTCTCTCTGTCTCTACTGTCTCACCACGTGTCTCTCTTGTCTCACCACGTGTCTCACCACGTGTCTCTCTGTCTCTACTGTCTCACCACGTGTCTCTCTGTCTCACCACGTGTCTCTCTGTCTCTCTGTGTCTCTCTTGTCTCACCACGTGTCTCACCACGTGTCTCTCTGTCTCACCACGTGTCTCTCTGTCTCACCACGTGTCTCTCTGTCTCACCACGTGTCTCACTGTCTCACCACGTGTCTCTCTGTCTCACCACGTGTCTCTCTGTCTCACCACGTGTCTCACCACGTGTCTCACCACGTGTCTCTCTGTCTCACCACGTGTCTCTCTGTGTCTCTCTTGTCTCACCACGTGTCTCTCTGTCTCACCACGTGTCTCTCTGTCTCTACTGTCTCACCACGTGTCTCTCTGTCTCACCACGTGTCTCTCTGTCTCTCTGTGTCTCTCTTGTCTCACCACGTGTCTCACCACGTGTCTCTCTGTCTCACCACGTGTCTCTCTGTCTCCCTTGTCTCACCACGTGTCTCTCTGTCTCACCACGTGTCTCTCTGTCTCACCACGTGTCTCTCTGTCTCACCACGTGTCTCTCTGTCTCTCTGTGTCTCTCTTGTCTCACCACGTGTCTCACCACGTGTCTCTCTGTCTCACCACGTGTCTCTCTGTGTCTCTCTTGTCTCACCACGTGTCTCTCTGTCTCACCACGTGTCTCTCTGTCTCTACTGTCTCACCACGTGTCTCTCTGTCTCACCACGTGTCTCTGTCTCTCTGTGTCTCTCTTGTCTCACCACGTGTCTCACCACGTGTCTCTCTGTCTCACCACGTGTCTCTCTGTCTCACCACGTGTCTCTCTGTCTCACCACGTGTCTCTCTGTCTCTACTGTCTCACCACGTGTCTCTCTGTCTCACCACGTGTCTCTCTGTCTCTCTGTGTCTCTCTTGTCTCACCACGTGTCTCACCACGTGTCTCTCTGTCTCTACTGTCTCACCACGTGTCTCTCTGTCTCACCACGTGTCTCTCTGTGTCTCTCTTGTCTCACCACGTGTCTCTTGTCTCACCACGTGTCTCTCTGTCTCTACTGTCTCACCACGTGTCTCTCTGTCTCACCACGTGTCTCTCTGTCTCTCTGTGTCTCTCTTGTCTCACCACGTGTCTCACCACGTGTCTCTCTGTCTCACCACGTGTCTCTCTGTGTCTCTCTTGTCTCACCACGTGTCTCTCTGTCTCACCACGTGTCTCTCTGTCTCTACTGTCTCACCACGTGTCTCTCTGTCTCTCTGTGTCTCTCTGTGTCTCACCACGTGTCTCTCTGTGTCTCACCACGTGTCTCTCTGTGTCTCTCTGTCTCACCACGTGTCTCTCTGTGTCTCACCACGTGTCTCTCTGTGTCTCACCACGTGTCTCTCTCTGTCTCACCACGTGTCTCTCTGTCTCTCTGTGTCTCTCTTGTCTCACCACGTGTCTCACCACGTGTCTCTCTGTCTCACCACGTGTCTCTCTGTGTCTCTCTGTCTCACCACGTGTCTCTCTGTCTCACCACGTGTCTCTCTGTCTCTACTGTCTCACCACGTGTCTCTCTGTCTCTCTGTGTCTCTCTGTGTCTCACCACGTGTCTCTCTGTGTCTCACCACGTGTCTCTCTGTGTCTCTCTGTCTCACCACGTGTCTCTCTGTGTCTCACCACGTGTCTCTCTCTGTCTCACCACGTGTCTCTCTGTCTCTCTGTGTCTCTCTTGTCTCACCACGTGTCTCACCACGTGTCTCTCTGTCTCACCACGTGTCTCTCTGTGTCTCTCTTGTCTCACCACGTGTTTCTTGTCTCACCACGTGTCTCTCTGTCTCTACTGTCTCACCACGTGTCTCTCTGTCTCACCACGTGTCTCTCTGTCTCTCTGTGTCTCTCTTGTCTCACCACGTGTCTCACCACGTGTCTCTCTGTCTCACCACGTGTCTCTCTGTGTCTCTCTTGTCTCACCACGTGTCTCTCTGTCTCACCACGTGTCTCTCTGTCTCTCTGTCTCACCACGTGTCTCTCTGTCTCTCTGTCTCACCACGTGTCTCTCTGTGTCTCTCTGTCTCACCACGTGTCTCTCTGTGTCTCTCTGTCTCACCACGTGTCTCTCTGTGTCTCACCACGTGTCTCTCTGTGTCTCACCACGTGTCTCTGTGTCTCACCACGTGTCTCTGTGTCTCACCACGTGTCTCTGTGTCTCACCACGTGTCTCTGTGTCTCACCACGTGTCTCTGTGTCTCACCACGTGTCTCTGTGTCTCACCACGTGTCTCTCTTGTCTCACCACGTGTCTCTCTGTCTCTCTGTGTCTCTCTGTGTCTCACCACGTGTCTCTCTGTGTCTCACCACGTGTCTCTCTGTCTCACCACGTGTCTCTCTTGTCTCACCACGTGTCTCTCTGTCTCTCTGTGTCTCTCTGTGTCTCACCACGTGTCTCTCTGTGTCTCACCACGTGTCTCTCTGTGTCTCACCACGTGTCTCTCTGTCTCTCTGTGTCTCTCTTGTCTCACCACGTGTCTCTCTGTGTCTCACCACGTGTCTCTCTGTCTCTCTGTGTCTCTCTTGTCTCACCACGTGTCTCTCTGTGTCTCACCACGTGTCTCTCTGTGTCTCACCACGTGTCTCTCTGTGTCTCACCACGTGTCTCTCTGTCTCTCTGTGTCTCTCTTGTCTCACCACGTGTCTCTCTGTGTCTCACCACGTGTCTCTCTGTGTCTCACCACGTGTCTCTCTGTCTCTCTGTGTCTCTCTGTGTCTCACCACGTGTCTCTCTGTGTCTCACCACGTGTCTCTCTGTGTCTCACCACGTGTCTCTCTGTGTCTCACCACGTGTCTCTCTGTGTCTCTCTTGTCTCACCACGTGTCTCACCACGTGTCTCTCTGTCTCTCTGTGTCTCTCTTGTCTCACCACGTGTCTCTCTTGTCTCACCACGTGTCTCACCACGTGTCTCTCTGTCTTTCTGTGTCTCTCTGTGTCTCACCACGTGTCTCTCTGTGTCTCACCACGTGTCTCTCTGTGTCTCACCACGTGTCTCTCTTGTCTCACCACGTGTCTCTCTGTCTCTCTGTGTCTCTCTTGTCTCACCACGTGTCTCTCTTGTCTCACCACGTGTCTCTCTTGTCTCACCACGTGTCTCTCTGTCTCTCTGTGTCTCTCTTGTCTCACCACGTGTCTCTCTGTGTCTCACCACGTCTCTCTCTCTCTCTCACCCACCCCCCCCCTCTTCCCCCCCTCTCCCCCTCTCCCACCCCCACCACCACGTCCGCGTGTGCGTTGCCCCGTGGGCCTCCTCCCCCCCCGCCCCCGCCCCCGCCCCCCGGAGCAGGCAAGGCGGTGCTGCTGGCCCGGGACAAGCAGCACCTCCTGGAGCTGTCCCACCTGGTGCGTCACGACGCGCCCTTCCTCTTCCAGAAGTACGTCCGCGAGAGTCACGGCAAGGACGTGAGGGTCATCGTGGTGGGCGGCCGCGTCGTCGGCAGCATGCTGCGCTGTGCTACCGACGGGAGGATGCAGAGCAACTGTTCGCTAGGTACACTGCCACCACTACTACTACTACACTACTACTACACTACCACTACTACCACTACTACTACACTACTACTACTACACTACTACTACCACTACTACTACTACTACCACTACTACTACACTACTAATACACTACCACTACTACCACTATACTATACCACTACTACTACACTACTACTACCACTATACTACCACTATGTCGTCGGCAGCATGCTGCGCTGTGCTACCGACGGGAGGATGCAGAGCAACTGTTCGCTAGGTACACTGCCACCACTACTACTATACTAGTACTACCACTACACTACCACTACACTACCACTACTACTACCACTACTACTATACTATACCACTACTACTATACTACCACTACTATACTACCACTACTACTACTACCACTATACTACCACTACTACTACACTACTACTACCACTATACTACCACTACTACTACACTACTACTACCACTATACTACCACTACTACTATACTATACCACTACTACTATACTACCACTACTATACTACCACTACTACACTACCACTACACTACCACTACTACTACACTACCACTACTACTACCACTATACTACCACTACTACTACACTACTACTACCACTATACTACCACTATATCGTCGGCAGCATGCTGCGCTGTGCTACCGACGGGAGGATGCAGAGCAACTGTTCGCTAGGTACACTGCCACCACTACTACTATACTAGTACTACCACTACACTACCACTACACTACCACTACTACTACCACTACTACTATACTACTACTATACTACTACTATACTACCACTACACTACCACTACACTACCACTACTACTACACTACTACTACCACTACTACTATACTACTACTATACTACTACTACACCACTACTACTACCACTACTACTACCACTACTACTATACTACCACTACTACCACCACTACTACTACCACTACTACTATACTACTACTACCACCACTACTACTATACTACTACTACCACTACTACTACCACTACTACCACCACTACTACTACCACTACTACTATACTACTACTACCACCACTACTACTATACTACTACTACCACTACTACTACCACTACTACTACCACTACTACCACTACTACTACACCACTACTACTAGCACTACTACTACACTACTACTACACTACTACTATACTACTACACTACCACTACTACTAGCACTACACTACTACACCACCACTACTACTACCACTACTACTACTACCACTACTACTATACTACCACTACTACACTACTACTACTACACTACTACTATACTACACTACTACTATACTACCACTATGTCGTCGGCAGCATGCTGCGCTGTGCTACCGACGGGAGGATGCAGAGCAACTGTTCGCTAGGTACACTACACCACTACTACTATACTACACTACACTATACTACCACTACACTACTACTACACTACTACTACTACTACACTACTACTACTACACTACACTACTACTACTACACTACTACCACTACACTACTACCACTACACTACTACTACACTACTACTAGCACTATACTACCACTATACTACCACTACTACTACACTACTACTACACTACTACTAACACTATACTACCACTATACTACCACTACTACTACACTACTACTAACACTATACTACCACTACTACTACACTACTACTACCACTATACTACCACTATACTACCACTAACACTACACTACTACTACACTACTACTAACACTATACTACCACTATACTACCACTACTACTACACTACTACTAACACTATACTACCACTACTACTACACTACTACTACACTAGTACTATACTACCACCACTGCTCGCTAGGTACACTACCACTACTACTACCACTACTACTACACTACTACTACCACTACTACTACACTACTATACTACTACTACTAGCACTACTACACTACTACTACACTACTACTACCACTACACTGCTCGCTAGGTACGGTCACAGCGGCGCTAGTACTATACTAGTACTATACTAGCACTATACTACACTACTACCACTACACTACCACTACACTACCACTACACTACTACTACACTACTCACTAGGTACGGTCATAGCGGCGGCAGCAGCACTACCACTAGTACTATACTACCACTATACTACCACTACTACTACACTACTACTACACTACTACTACTACACTACTACCACTACACTACTACCACTACACTACTACTACTACAATACTACTATACTACACTACTACTACACTACTACTACATTACTACTACCACTACTACACTACTACTACACCACTACTACACTACTACTACACCACTACTACCACTACTACTACACTATTAGTACACCACTACTACACTACTACTACTACACTACTACTACTACACTACTACTGCTACACTACTACTACTAGCACTACTACACTACTACTACACTACTACCACTACTACCACTACTACTACACTACTACTACTAGCACTACTACACTACTACTACACTACCACTACTACTACTACACTACTACTAGCACTACTACTACACTACTACTACACTACTATCACTACTACCAGTACACTACTACTACACTACTACTACTATCACTAGTACTACACTAATAATACTAGCACTACTACAACACTACTGCTACTACTACACTACTACCACTACTACTACCAATACATTACAACTACTACACTACTACTACCATTACTACTACTACACTACTACTACACTACTACTACTATACTACTACACTACTACTACTACACTACTACTACTATACTACTACACTACTACTACTACACTACTACTACTATACTACTACACTACTACTACGACACTACTACTACTACGGCCCTACTACTACACTACTTCTACCACTACTACTACACTACTACTACTACACTACTACTACTACTATACTACTACTACACTACTACTACGACACTACTACTATGGCACTACTACTACACTACTACTACACTCGTACTATGACACTACTACCACTACTACACTACTACAACTACACTACTACCACTACACTACTACTACACTACTACCACTACACTACTACTACACTACTACGGCTACCACTACTGCTACCGCTACTACTACTACACTACTACTTCTACACTACTACTACGACACTACTACTACACTACTACCACTACACTACCACTACACTACTACTACTACACTACTACTATACTACTACAACACTACTACCACTACTACACTACCACTACACTACTACTACCACTACACTACTACTACACTACTACTAGCACTATACTACCACTATACTACCACTACTACTACACTACTACTACTACCACTACTACTACACTACTACTACACTACTACCACTACTACTACACTACTACTACACTACTACTACTACACTACTACCACTACACTACTACCACTACACTACTACTACACTACGACTACCACTATACTACCACTACTACTACACTACTACTACACTACTACTACTACACTACTACCACTACACTACTACCACTACACTACTACTACACTACTACTAGCACTATACTACCACTATACTACCACTACTACTACACTACTACTACACTACTACTACACTACTACTACCACTATACTACCACTATACTACCACTAACACTACACTACTACTACACTACTACTACCACTATACTACCACTACTACTACACTACTACTACCACTATACTACCACTATACTACCACTACTACTACACTACTACTATCACTACTACTACACTACTACTACCACTATACTACCACTATACTACCACTACACTGCTCGCTAGGTACGGTCACAGCGGTGCTAGTACTATACTAGTACTATACTACTATACTACCACTATACTACCACTATACTACTACTACTACACTACTACTAGCACTATACTACCACTATACTACCACTACCACTATACTACCACTATACTACCACTAACACTACACTACTACTATACTACACTACTACTATACTACACTACTGCTATACTACACTAGCACTATACTAGCACTATACTACACTACTACACTACTACTACACTACTACTACACTGCTCGCTAGGTACGGTCACAGCAGCAGTAGCAGCACTACCACTAGTACTATACTACCACTATACTACCACTATACTACCACTACTACTACACTACTACTACACTACTACTACACTACTACTACTACACTACTACCACTACACTACTACCACTACACTACTACTACACTACTACTAGCACTATACTACCACTATACTACCACTACTACTACACTACTACTACACTACTACTACCACTATACTACCACTATACTACCACTAACACTACACTACTACTACACTACTACTAACACTATACTACCACTATACTACCACTACTACTACACTACTACTAACACTATACTACCACTACTACTACACTACTACTACACTAGTACTATACTACCACCACTGCTCGCTAGGTACACTACCACTACTACTACCACTACTACTACACTACTACTACCACTACTACTACACTACTATACTACTACTACTAGCACTACTACACTACTACTACACTACTACTACCACTACACTGCTCGCTAGGTACGGTCACAGCGGCGCTAGTACTATACTAGTACTATACTAGCACTATACTACACTACTACCACTACACTACCACTACACTACTACTACACTACTCACTAGGTACGGTCATAGCGGCGGCAGCAGCACTACCACTAGTACTATACTACCACTATACTACCACTACTACTACACTACTACTACACTACTACTACTACACTACTACCACTACACTACTACTACTACACTACTACTACTACACTACTACTATACTACACTACTACTACACTACTACTACATTACTACTACCACTACTACACTACTACTACACCACTACTACACTACTACTACACCACTACTACCACTACTACTACACTATTAGTACACCACTACTACACTACTACTACTACACTACTACTACTA